ATAAGTATTTTAGTTGATTCTGAATTACAGGAAGAATTACATACATAACTATAAGTATTTTAGTTGATTCTGAATTACAAGAAGAATTACGTACATAGCTATAAGTATTTTAGTTGATTCTGAATTACAGGAAGAATGACGTACATATATTATAAGTATTTTAGTTGATTCTGAATTACAGGAAGAATTACATACATAACTGTAAGTATTTTACTTGATTCTGAATTACAAGAAGAATTACGTACATAGCTATAAGTATTTTAGTTGATTCTGAATTACAGGAAGAATGACGTACATAACTATAAGTATTTTAGTTGATTCTGAATTACAGGAAGAATTACGTACATAGCTATAAGTATTTTAGTTGATTCTGAATTACAGGAAGAATTACGTATATATCTACATTAGTAATTGAATTGATTTTGAATGGTACACAGAGAATAGTGTAGATAACTATTACCATTTGCCCTATAATTCAGTATCAATTTGAATGGTGTAGGTAACTATTAGCATTTGAATTGATACTGAATTATAGGGTGAATGGTGTAGGTAACTATTACCATTTGAATTGATACTGAATTATAGGGTGAATGGTGTAGGTAACTATTAGCATTTGAATTGATACTGAATTATAGGGTGAATGGTGTAGGTAACTATTACTGTTTATTTTATTTTGAATGGCATGGAGATGGAGAGAATTGTGTAGGTATTAATAGTATTTTATTTTGTTCTCAGCAGCAATGAGAATATTGTAGATAGCTATCAGTATTTTATTCTATTCTGAATTACTGGGAGAATGACGTAGAAACTATCAGTATTTTATTTGATTTTGAATGGCAGGGAGAATGGTATGAATAACAATTAGTAACTTATGTACTTATGAATTACTGAGAGAATGGTGTAAGTAACTTAGTATTTTATTTTATATAGTGGCACAACAGTAAGTCTACGGATTCATAACGCTAGAAATCGGTTTTCGATATCCGTGGTGGGCGCAGCACAGTTAGCCCATTATGTAGCTTTGCGTATAGCTACAAACAAACAAAGAGAATAAATAGCTCCCTCTTTAATAAAATAAATGTGGAAGAAAGTACTCACTGTCATGTCTTAATACACATACATAGCTTCGAGCCTACATCACTATCTGAAACACAAAGTGATGTTACACCAACATGATGATCATATCTTCATCAAACTAGTAAGGTTCATCCTCTACACGGTGTAGAAATACTTTTGTCAATCCAATTAGTTTCCTAGAAGCATGAATCAAAACCTACCTGTATATGTTAATTAAATTTCTTCAAATGCATAATAGAACAAAATTGAAACTTTAATGAGACATTAATTAGACATGAGACTGCTGTACCTTATTGTATTGTGCTATATTTTAACCTATACACAAGAACCATTTAACTATGAAAAACCTAATTATATAGTGATTGGCTTTTATATATTTTTTCAATAAAAGGAAGCAGAAAATATGTGTCCTGTGACGGATTTATTATTATATTTGTATTTCAATATCAACGTTTCTTTAGATTAAACTTATATTTAGAAACATACATAGCTTATACTTTTAAATATGTATTACGAAACTCCCGCCTATTCTCCAAAGTTGTAGAAGATTCTCGAGCGTAAGAATCAACAATATATGTATGCACGTAAATGCTTAAGTGTAGCCTTATATTGTTGCGTAATCTGAATTTTCTAAAAAGCCTCCACTCGTCCATAAATATAACCAACGCGACGCGCCAAAAAAGAGTATCTATCATTATTTTGCTATAGTCAGTGTGCTATAAACTTCGGAAGCTATAACTGTGATTGTTATAATGCTTATCAATCGGAAAACTTAAGATATTTGACCAGGAGCATTTACAAAGTTTGAACATTACAAATTATTTAACTTCAGTGGATTCTCATCGCACATTAGTATTTTTACGAAAACATTACATAACGTCACGGTGGAAAACTCGGCATGTGTGGCTAGTAAAAAACGAAAGACAAAGCTAGCTAGCTTCTTATGAAGTGAATTATGCCTACTTATAATACTTGTAATTAACTCGCTCATCGTGAACTCTCGATAAGACATCCAAGAAGTTCCAGATTAGAAAGAAGACTTTATATTGCTTGTAAGTTTGTGAAACTTTTGTTTCTAATAACTATTTGTAATAACTGTTATTGTAAATTGTATTGTTGAGTGTGTATATTAAAACGTATTTGTGTTATAGAAGAAAACTGTGTGTATCAATCTTGTTGGCAAATATCATAAACTGAATATATATATCGGCTTTTACTTAACTGCTAAATCCAAAGTACAATTTAACTAATAAATCTAAGTTACAATTTAACTCAGTTTCAGACCATTAGAAATTGCATACATAGCAGTCCACATATTTTATCACACGAGTAGTTTTATGTTTTTTGCCTGTTATAAAACTCTGTGTAAAGGACAGATCAAAATGTTGAATAAACACATTAATTTTACATGTAAAATACAAAGGAAACCCTAGTAAATTAATGCGATTAATTGTAATGTTGATAGTATATTTGTTAGCATTTTTTGTGTGATTTATATGTAACTATGACGAACAAATTCGTGGACCCAAAAGCAATTTGGTGCATAAATAGTTTAAAAAATGTGTAAAAATACATGTTAAAACTTATCACTTAAGAATCCTAAAAAGCGTTTATTTATTGTTTTCAAACATATCCGAAATCTAGTAATACTTTCGCGTTTTGATCACATGAAAAGTCCTCATTAATTTGTTCTTGTATTTAAGCAATGTATACATCACGGTATATATTTTTTATAAACTTCAGGTACTTAAAGGCCCAAAGTTTGCTTTCTGGTAAAACTGGAAGAGTAGCCTTCGATGAGAAAGGAGATCGTCTTAATAGTGAATACGATATTGTTAATGTTGTAGATGGTCGGACCGTTAAGGTTGGATATTACACATTCTCCAAGGTAAAACAATTTGATGTGTTCATATATATATATATGCGTGTCCCTTTTTAACTTTTATTTTTTTCGTAAACTTTATCCGAACCACTTCTGCATCATTTAAACGTTTATCTACTTTGTGTTTTCAATAATGCTTGTAAGTACACAAATCTTTCATTATGGCCTTTGTAAATAGCTATGTATTTTGCGGTTACATTATTTCAATTACTATTTTATATTTGATTATATGTTTTGGTTTTGAAAAAAGGACAAAACTTGTTAATTACAAAACTCTAAAGTTATATTAACAATATCTATATATGTATCTTTTTTTTTCTGTTTGCCTGTCCGTTTATGTATCACCCATTCATTATTATTTCGTGAAAAACGATATAAATTTATGACTTTTCACTTTATAGCCTCTGGTTGTTTTCTGAGAACAAACAGCATAAAATAGCCGCATATAAGTATCTTGTTTACCACTTAAAGTATTTTCATTAATACTGAATCTAAAGTGTTTCAGACGAGAAATATGACGTAAAATGTTTTATTACGCTTTATCATTTTGACCTTTTCAAACGAAAACTTCCTCCTGCTCAGTTAATTCGTTGATGTTAACCACCAGAGGGCATAAGCTATTGAATATTAACTCATAATCTGAAAACAAATAACGTAATGTATCATTTTGGTATGGTTTCGCACTTCATTACAAGCTTTGTGTTACTATATAATAGTATTCACATTCTTCAGTTCCAACAAAACAAATTATTCAATAAACGTAAACATATTCAAACTCTTACACATGAGTAAAACAAGTAAAACTTGTTTTTAAAACAGTATGATGCACATTCTACGTACAAATGTTAGCTTTGATAATTCGAATCACAATGAAATGTCTTTACAAGGATAAAAATGACCAGTAAATCGTATATCCTCAAAAAACATGAGTTACTTTGTTGAAAAACAATGTTTTGGTATCGGTTAGTATTTCTGAAAAATCAGTGTTCTAAACCATACCTTTACCATTTATACCAACAGTTACCATATGTTGCTAAGATTTTATTGTTCTATATTTCTATTGACTGTCTTAATAAAAAAGGAGTTACATAAAATTATTGATGTGCTTTATATTCTTATTTATTTAAAACTATTAGAATAAAAATATTTTTAGGTCCAGATGAAAATGAACCTTCAGCTCAACGTTACCAACATTAGATGGCCTGGTAACCAAGCGACAAAGCCTTTAGGGTATATCGTGCCCACCCATTTAAAGGTTTACTTTCTTGGTCGCTTACTTTGGTTTAATACTTAATTTTATATATAGATATTTATGAATAGAGTAATAACGTTTTCTTATGATCTGAAGTAACAAAAAATGTTATTTTAAATCAAATTATGAACATAAATTAAAATCATTAGTTATTAGAAATCATCAAGACTTTGATATACATGTATACAGATTATCCAGTGAAGATTGTTGATTAGTGTTGACACGATAAGTCTATGTAAATAAAGATTCCAACTAACCAAAACACTTAGTCGACTAACAGTTTGGTTAGAACGAAAAGGGTTGTAAACGTAGAGGAATACTTTGCAATAATTATTACACTTTGTGTGGTAAATATTTTAAGATTATTACTACCGATCGTAGAATTTTCAAACCAATGGCGCGTTAATAACTTAAAAACGTACAACACATGTTTCTTTGTTTCAATGATAACTGGTTATTGGCTTTTGTAATATTTTCAAGCTTACTTTTTTCTCTATATCTGGTCATGTGACTTTCTATTATTAGTCTAAGCTTATTTTGTTCTATTCTACATAGCAAACTTATGAATTTCAGGAACTAAGTATTAGAAAACGATTGGATCGTTGGGCAACTATGAAGTCGTTAAATTAAAACTAAAAAATGAACTCGTAAATTTCTAAATAAACTAATAAATTTACTCTTATGCTAAAATTATCTATGTTTTATTCATCTTATCTGAAAATACTGGGAATTTTTTTAAAATTATAATAATAATAACGAATTAAAAGTCATTAGTTGCTAGAAATGTAACTTTGAAACGTGTGTCCAACGTATACCTTTTGTTTAATATTAGATGTAAAAGTAGATGTCATAAGTTACTGTTATAAGTTACTGACACTTTGTTGTTCTGTGTTTGTGTAGTTGAATAACGATTATATATAAGCATGGAAGTGTTAGCTTTTAAATTTTGTATTTCATAAATACTGATATCTGGATCCAAATAAATAACTAATGACAATTATATGCCCCCTTCTTTATTCGAATAAATCATTTTATAAGCCTTTTTTGCAAACTAATGAAACTATAAACGACCAGAATGACAAGGTTAAATGAAAATTTGTGGTTAATCTTATTAAGAGTATAAACTAAAACCACTAATAAGTCTTAATTTAAAATAAATATTGAAACTAGTGAGGTATTACTCGTTCATAATTTAAAACCATTTGCTCAAACTATTATGCAGTAAATAAAGCCTGTCAACATTGTGTTGTAATTATAACACAGTAAGAGCATTTCTTCCCCGTTTACATTATGTTGTTGTTTACGAGACTAACTGTACAGTTAAGGAATAATTTGAACTCTTGGAGAGGGTTTCTTTTTTTTTTTTCTTTTGGCGACTCTTAGTTTTTCCTAATATTTTTCATTTAAAGAAAACGAATAATTTAGCTTTATAAAAGTTAACACTGAAAGATGATTTCACTAATAGTTTTATTTTTTGAAATAAAAAGGCCTTAACATTATTATGGAAATAAAGTATTTACAGGTTATTTGAAAGCCTCTATGATTATAAATGTTTCAATTAGGTGGTTACAACAGAAGAAAAGCCGTTTGTTTGGGCTAGGCCTGTTGAAAGTGAAGATGAGTGCAAAGAAGATGAAATTCCATGCCCACGTGCTAACAGTTCCTTACGTAAGTCTTCAAGTATATGAAAAAAAAAGTAACTAACCAGCCATAAGTTAATTTAAGATATTGTTTGTTTGTTTGATAGATGTTATGCATAACACTGCTCAATGCTGTGTTGTACCAATTGTAGGGATTGAATCCCGGATATTAGCGTAAAATACTCTAATCTTGCCACCGAGTCACGCGGGGCCAATTTTTCTGTTTGTTTTATATTTCACGCAAAGTTACTCGAGAGCTATCTGCGCTAGCCGTTCCTTATTCAGCAGTAATCGATTAGAGGGAAGGCAACTAGTCATCACTACCCACCGCCAACTCTTGAGCTACTCTTTTACCAACGAATAGTGGGATTGATCGTCACATAATAACGCCCCTACGGTTGAAGTGGTGAGTATGTTCGATGAAGGGGGATTCGAACCTGCGACTCGCAGATTGCGAGTCGAGTACCCTAACCACCATGCCATGCGAAGCCGGGGACCAGTTTACACAATATAAAAATATGTTGTATATTAGTAATATGTTTTTTACCCAACATTTCAAATACTTCTTAGCAGTCAAGTATTTTCGCATTCTATATTTCAGTTAAATAAGATCGAGTAAATACAATAATTTCAAACGTAAGTATTTGAAACCATAAAGACAATATTTAGAAAGTTCCACAAACACAGTAACTAGGAGGTTTCGATATAAAATTGATCCTTGAATTTTACAATGTATAATTTGAAGTATGTACAAATTCCTTTATTTTCTCTTTAAATAATACCCATAACTGTATTTTGCTTATGTTTATTATATTGAATAATGTTTATTATTTATAATATTGAAGCAATCGATATCCATTCTATACTAGATGGAGTACCCGTCCCCTTGACGGAAGTTATGTAAATTCATGACTAATGAAAGGCTATCTTAGGACATGAAAAGTTGCTTCCCTATATGTAATTGTAAAAAACTGCAAAACACCAAATATGAAGCTGGAAATGAACCTCCATACCAAATTTGGTGAAGATCCATTTACAGGGGGCGAAGTAGTGGTAAAAAACGCCCATAAAAACTGCAAAATGCAAAACCGAAAATTTGTATGTACCCTCACATGGATTTAATGAACCTCCATACCAATTGTGGTGAAGATCCATCCACCCCCCCCCCCCCCAGTGGCACAACGGTATGTCTGCGGACTTACAACGCTAAAAACCGGGTTTCGATAGCCCTTTGTGTAGTTTTGTGCTTAACTACAAACAAACAAACCATTCACATTTTGCGAAGTAGTTATATGGACAGTACTATTATATTTATAAAGATTACATATTCCAACTACGAACTTCACAGTTATACTTCTAAATGAAAGTTTACAATGATGCTAGAGAAAGCTGCATTATAAGAAATATCAAATACGCGTAAAACATTTTTTTAAATATAGGACTAGGAAACTAATTAATGTGCAATTGGCTTACTCATCCTTATTGTGGTATTTAATTAATAAAAGTAGTATATCATTTAAAGCACAATTATCTATTATTGCAAATAAAAATATCTTTTTGGAACGTTTCAGCCACATTTTTTTTGGGCCATCATCACAGTAACGTAATTTCACAGTTTAAAAACCAAAATTATGCTTGTTTGTAGCGAAAAGCTAAACAATGGATTACACAGAACTGTGAATTTAAACTTCATAAAAGTTGTTTTGGTTTTAACAACGAATTTTCCATAATTCAGCTACGCAGATTTCGAAAATAATATTAATTTTTTTTTCTATCACGTAAGGATTTTTTACAAACCAGAAAGAAATAAGAACTCTTACTTAGATCAAATTTACAACAAATTTACTACAAATATAACAGAATATGTTTGGGTAATTTAAACAACCTCTTGTTGCCATAGCGACGAATAAATAATATTGAAAGGAAAAAAATAATGTCAAAGTGCATGCACAAGTAAATATTATCTAAAAGTGACGCGTCATGCGGCCTGTTAACCGATTATATACTAGCGGTGTGTTTCTCGTGGATTCTACAACGATCGATAAGACTCACGTCGCGATTGGTCTAAAGAAATCTATAGCCAATGGTTGTCGACATTTTAAGCATAACAAAATGTAACCCGATTTGAATGAAAATGATTCACTTGTGTAAAAGTACATATGACGTTTTGTGAAAATTCTGTACGTGATGAAGAAAAATGGATATCATTTTCAGATTCAGTGTACAGGAATTACTGTAGAACATGTAAAAATTTCAAGACAATAAAACCATCGCAGGCCTGTGTTATTGGTTAATGTAACAGTCATACTTAGTTACATAATACGTAACTGTGGATACTGCAAAAATAGCTAAAGTATATGCCTGTAACCATCTAACATTGGGTAGGATCAAATTGCACATGTTATGTTACATTTAAAATTTAAGCAAACAACTTTATTATCATCATAAAATAGTTAATAAATAAAATTTTAATATTATATATATATGTTTTAATTTCAAATTTCTTCACTTCTCCTGTATCATATGATAGTTCTATCCTCTAAATTAACCATTTTTGATATTACTACAATCTTTGTATGATGTCCTGAGTTTAACATAAATTATGCATTTATAGTATAGATATTGGTAAGACATAATCTAAAGTTATAACCTCCAATCTTCTTGCTTTACTAACATATAAACCAGAAAGTCAAACCCACATGCCACACCTTCTTTTGACACCCTATCAATAATATCAGTAATTTTCTTTGACATTTACTATTGGATTATGTATAACCAATAAGAAGAGAATATTTTAATTACTGTTTTCTTTCTAAGGCTAATTCGTTTTGGTGATAGGTTTTGAGCTATTGTGCATCAATTTGATAGTTTGCTATTGCTAAGGTCATGTTATCCAGCCAAAGGAATTATTTTAACTGACTTATAGTTCAATTAAAAAGTCTGTTAGATTAAAATAGTTTTTAGAACATTGTATTCTGTGTGCATGTTATTTTATGTTCTAAATAGCATATTTGAAATTAATGAAAATTAAGTAAAGTACAAACAAGAACCATATAAAATAATTAGGTTAACTTTTATCATGACTTCAAGAGCAAAGAAATACAAGACTCGTATGTAAGTATTAAATTTCTTGTTTATAATTTATAGGTCTTATTTATTGATATAAAAGTAACTAAAATGTTATAATTGAAACTTGTTACTCTGGATAAGAAAATATAAAGTAAAAAATTAAATAAAAATATTTCTCCTTGAAGTATGCATGCAAGATGCTCTGCATGATGTAATTCAGTACTTTGTTTACCATAACTTGCACTATGCTCTTGCCAGGTGATTTACTGATTTGTTGCACTAGTTTTGTTAAACTCAATGCAGAGAGCAATAAAGTTAAATAAAAGCAGTTGTGAAAAGGTTAAAAGACTAGATTTTAGGATAAATAATTGTAATTTGTGTTGCAATTTGCAGTTATTTCTAGAAATAAAAAGTACTTTTGATTTGATTTTATATTTTTCAACTTTTTGCTACAGATGATTTCACTATAGTTATTGTTAGGGTAGATTAAATAAGAGACAAAATACTAAGTTTGGCCCCAAAAAACTTTTGATATTTGTTTAGGAAGCTGTAGAGGTTATGTAAATGAAATGTGAAAACTGTACTGTGAAAAAAAAAAAGTATTTTTATTGTTAATATAAAAAACTACCTTGCCCTGAGACTAGTCTGAGTCAGGCTAACTTTAAATTCACAGAAAAATCTTTAGTAAAAATACTTCATTACAAAATGATATTTTTTCTTTACAGCAGACTTTTAATGTTTAATTAGAGATTGTCAAATTTCATTAAGGTACACATATAATATTAAAAGTCATAGTGCATATAGTTTCATGGTTATATGGTGGTTAAAAGATCAGTCAAAATGATTAATATACCATACCTCATAATTCTGAATATTTTAAGTTCATAGACTATAAAAAACATCCATTTCATTTTTGGATACAGGTTTTTTATACTGTGTTGAGATGTTTAGAAGTACTGGTAAACATGTTTCAATAGTTACGTGTTTTTCTTTATACTGTTTTGATATGTTTTGAAGGATTGGTAAACATATATTACCAGTTTGTGTAATGGTAACATAAAATGTAGATGCAAAAGATCAAACAGAATGAAAAAAAACAAAGCAAAATGAACTGCATGGCTGTATGCCTTAATCATTTAGAATTGAGAACTTTTGAATATTTTTATGTATTCTCAATTAAATGGTTTCCTTGAATGAAAAGAATTGTCTTGCATGTAATTGCATGTGTTTTATATTTATGATTTTATGCTTAAATTAGTGTATGTTTATTTTGTATTGTTTCTGATAATAATGCAAAGAGTTTCTTTTTGCACGTTTTATTTTATGCTTGCTGGTTTATAGTTAACTTTTCTTTTACAGCTCATGGCTTTAGACAAGAACAACCAAAGTTCCTATAATAAGGTTTGATTTATATTTGATGCTTTTGATAGTTTTCACAAATGATTAAAGCTTGTTTTCATGATGAAAGAAGGTAACTTATGGACTCCAACAGCCTTCTAAAGACTGAATCCTCTGGTTGAGAAAGTTGGTGAGTAAACTCCACAAGCCATCTTCAGGTCAGGAGATTGGTTACAGAAGTAATCAATAATGTCCTTTATTCAGAGGATTCAGTGTTTCCAATGTAGTTGGCATCCGTAATCAACCTTTCTTCTTGTTATTTTTTAATGTTTGTTGAAATTTTAATTATTTTTTGAATACTTCAATATAGCAATATTAGGTGAGGAAGTCCAATTAGTCTTACTGTAATTATAGTCAAATATGTTATGAAAAAAAAATCATATAATTCTGTGGATTTTTGTACACTAAGTTCTTAAAATATTCTGAATCTTGTTTCTTAAGGCAAGATTTTGTTCAGAATTAAAATATTTACATGAAATGCTCTGGTACTTGAAATGTGATCTGTTTTAAATGTATATGCTTTGCTTATAAGCAAGTTTTACATAGTGTGGTTGACATATTCTTTCACACTCTTCTTTAGTTTCACTCAAAAGTTTTTAGTAATGCTTGTTTTTGATTCAATGCAGTGATAGCAACGCTGGAACGCCTTGATCCTGAAACAATACAGCAGAAGGAGGAAGAAGCTCGAGATGAAGATGATGACGAAGACTGGAGTCCAGTGCAGCCTCTTCCCATCACACAACAGCGAGAAAACTACCTCACTTAAAAACAAGTTTGTCATGGGTAGCTACAGAGAAGTGGTGTATTTTATAAAAGAAACTGAGGATTTGTAATAATGTTGGAAACTTTACATGAAAATAGAATAACCTAATGTAAAATTCCATTTAAAAGTAGAAAGCAGTATCATAAAAACAATATGGAATGTTTCTTCTAACTAGTAAAGACAGTTCATTTTTAAATAAAATAGGTGGGTAAAAGGAACCTCCATATTTTCAGGCTTATATTACACAAGAAAAGGGGTGATTGTTTAGGTTCCTGTTTTAAGTGCCTGAAACTTTCAGTAGTGTTAAAATAATTTGTTTATATTGATGTGCATCTTGGTGGTAGCTAAGAAAGGAAACAATATGAATGTACAAGTGATATTAAGGCTTGTGATTAGAGGTTGTTTCTGTTTGATGTCTATAGTTTCCAGCATTTTTTGAATAAAGTTATAATGAAAGTATATCATCGTGCTTCAGCATAAAAACAGCAGTTGAGACAATATTTAACACTTTACAAAACATTGACATTCTTTTGTGAAATATGAATGCTTTGGTATTTTTTGTAATTCAGTTACATCTCTTTACTGTAGTACAGTAGTTTTCAGACCTGGGGTCAAGGAAGGCTCAGTTGTAGTTCAGGTTTTGCAGAAAAAATATTATATGTAGTAAACAAAGCTGAATGGGCTGGTTGAAATAGATTTTCAAACAAATAGGATTTATTATATTCAGGATGTCTTGAAAATATTTTGGGAACTGCTGCCCTGCTGCAATTGATACTTGTAAGTATTAACTGAAGTTTGGCCATATTAATTGGAAAGTGTAATATATATACCATAAATTGGGATTTGGAGTAAGTCATTTGAATTTCAAAGATATGCTTAAGGTTCTCACGTTAAATAGATAAACAAAAACTATTAATGCTCTATTTTTGTGTTTTATGATATGTGCAACTGTTTTATGAGTAATACTCCAATTAATAGTAATGTATGAGTCAGTAGCTTTAATTATAGGTATTTGTGGCAGTGTGCATAGATATCAAAATTACTGTTTGCAGAATTATCTCATAAATAACCTGATGCTGATTTATGCTTTCTTTTGATTAGAATATTTTAATCAACAAGATTTTTGTTTTTGAGGTGTTATGTGTTTCAAGGTTGTTTTTTTTCTTTCACAAAACTGATTTTATTCATAAAGTGGAATTGAGGAAATATTCTAGCATGCTAATATTAAGCTTCTGTTGTAGGTATTTATGCCATTAGGTTGTGTTGTGGAAAAAGTAATAGTAGGCTGTGGTCTGTTTTCAGCTTTTATTAAAAAGTTGTACTGGAATGGGAGCAATTCATGGCTCAGAAATTAAATTAGTTTAAATGTTAGATGAATACTGAAGAATCATATCACACTGCTCCAAATGAAATGCTAGGAAAGATGTCGCCATGTTTTGTAACACATTCAGAAAACTATTAAAAGTAAGTATTGTATGTTTTAACCAGATAACTGTGATAGATCAAGAATGATAAGTAGCCTCATTCACTACTTAAAGGTCATAAATTCTTGAGGGTACTGTTATAGGAAAATATATATTCTTCTGAAGAGTTACTTGTTCTTATAGGGTTTTTTTAGGATGTTGGCCAAAAAAAAAAACTTTGGATTTGATAGGATAGAGTGAATTGGTTATTAATACTAGATATGGCTGAAATACTAAACATTTTTGGTCACTTTATCAAAAATAAAGTAACAGTGGGTGCTGTGATATAACAAAGTGTTTAATGTGACTTAGGATATGTGAGTGGGGAAATTGTGTTCAGAAGAGCTTGTATTTGTCTAGATTTTAACAACATACTGTTTAGTGTTCTTTGTTCTCTGATCCCTACCCATAGCAATACTGCTTGTGTAGACTATAAACAGAACAGTTCATTAGTGCACATGTAAACATGAACAACAGAACTGTACATTACATCGATATGAAGTGTTTGATGGTTTTCTCACTTATTATTGTGTAAAGTGAAAGTTTTTTGTTAAATGTAGTTCAATAGCATGAGTACTGGTAGTACAGAGACTGGTGTGAAATGTGTACATAGACTGAACATGGCCAGGTTGTAGTTGTGAAATGAGTATGGAGACTGAACATGTCCAGGTTGTAGTAAGTGTGAAATGAGTACAGAAACTAAACATGTCCAGGTTGTAGTAGGTGTGAAATGAGTACAGTGACTAAAACATGTCCAGATTGTAGTAGGTGTGAAATGAGTACGGATACTGAACATGTCCAGGTTATAGTAGGTGTGAAATGAGTACAGTGACTAAAACATGTCCAGGTTGTAGTAGGTGTACCTACTACAACCTGGACATGTTCAGTCTCTGTACTCATTTCGTGAAATGAGTACAGAGACTGAACATGTCCAGGTTGTAGTAGGTGTGAAATGAGTACAGAGACTGAACATGTCCAGATTTTAGTAGGTGTGAAATGAAAAACAAAAGTAAATCATCAAAGTATATGTATTTTGGTGACAGAAATGAAAGAGAAGTAATATGTTGACATCAATACAGTAATTAGATGTTCCATGTATTTGTGATAAACTTGAATTATTGAGACACAAATATTTTAAATAGTTTAGGTAGCACTTTTTCTACATATAATATCAGAGATTAGATATTGTTTGACACTGTACATAGTGTAGCACTCACTGTTGTATGTACTTAATAACCCAACAGTAAATAGGTGTTGAAGATGGCTATTAAAATTTACTTTTGTTTCACGTACGTTATCAGGTTTTTTGTGTTTTTTTCATGTTGTTTTACATTATCTAATATAATTTTTTTATCTTGATTTTATAACCTTTTTGTAAAGTACTTCATGGTTATTTATAAAGACGACTTTTATTCTGGTTGTTTTCTCCTCTTTTGAACATACGTGGAGAGACGTTTTCTACTTTTTTTTTTCAGGAATATTTTTATGCAGCATATTGAAAGTTCATGCTAATCATTTTTCACCCATATTAACAACTCGTAAGTTCTGTACACGTGACTGTTCTCGACTCTCACGTTGTGTTGTTTTCGTTGGTGTTATTCTGCAATTACATTGTATCTATTGCAATACATCTTATGTGAATGTGTTGATGAAGAACTAGTGTTCACCAGTTACTTTATTATATCTGTGGTGTTAGTACTTTAGATATTTTGAGAATGAATCTGTACAAAGAGTGTGACAGTTTGTTGAACTTCATCATGTAATTCGTTTTTTACATTCCAGTACTTAACAATCAAATCATAAATTATCGTTTGTTCTACACATGTAGAACTAGTGCGTTCTTTACATCTGTACTTCTTTTCAGCCTTATATTTTACTTTGGTTTAGATGTATATATATATATAGGCTTACAATTAAAACAATTTGTAGAAGATATATAATGTCTTTCCTGTGTTTTATGTGAAAAGAAAGTTGTTAGAGCAACATACATGTCAAAGGAGAACAAAACTCGTTTCTCAGACTTGTTGAGAAGAAAGTTTTAGTAGAGATACACAAACAAAAAAATTTAAGTGATGGTTAGATGATTAGTTAAAACTTAGCTCATTTATAACTGTTGTAATTTTGATTCAGAAATCCTAGGCTTGGGATTGTATTTACAACGATATTGTGTTAGGTTTGCAAATGTTCATATTATTGTTCACCATGTATTTTTGTTTTACTCTTTCTCTCTCTATATCTATATATATATATAGGTGCTTATTCATATGGTAATGTTGAATTGTTACATTATTATATATTGTTTAAGAAAACACAAGTTCTGTATTCCTTTAAAATTTATAGTGCATACTGGAGGGATTTACACATTTTGATAATAAAGTTTAGAACAAAACAACCTTTATATTCCAGATAGATATAAAAGGGTTAATATACACAACTGTATGATATTAAAATATTTGTTAAATTGTAAAAGTGCTTGTAATATTCTATTTCTCGAGTCTGCCAGAACATGTGTCTAACAATGTATAGGTTATTATTATTGTTCTAATATTATAGTATAGTTATAATACTAAGTATGCACCTATACTAACATATGACATATATATATAACTATTTGATATGATATATAAAAATATAGAGAACTACAGTATGTTTTCTGATTAGCTAAAAAAACACATAGATGGAAAATAGAAGTATACCATAATATTTTAACAATTGTGAAACAATAATAATAACCTATACATTGTTAGACGCACGTTACGGCAGACTAGAGAAATAGAACATTACAAGCAGTTTTTTAATTAAACAAATATTCTAAGATCAAACAGTTGTGTATATCAACCCTAATGAAGTGACATAGGTGAAACATTGGTTACAATAAACAGATTCTGCAGTTGTAAACAAAACTTCTGAGTGTAATTTGGAAAGCAGATACACTTAATATAATTTGGGAATTGTTTAAATATTAAACCTTCTAAACCTGCAAGGTGTTAACTCAAATATATATAACAACATATATTTTCAGGGACTGTAAAAACATCCCATTATTCCTCTGCTTTTTTACTTTATGACCTACCTTGTCATTCCTTTGATGTTTAGATTTGTGAATCTATGGTGTTATTCCTTTCATGTTTAGATTTGTGAACTATCCTGTTATTCTTTTGATGTTTGGCTTTCTGAATTATACTGTCATTCCTTTGATGTTTAGCTTTATGAAATATCCCATTACTTCTGTGATGTTTACTTTGTGAAACATCTATTACTTTTATCATGATTTATGAACAAAAAATATCCTGTTGTTATTCTGATGTTTTACTTCTTACTTTTTTTCATATTAATGAAATTTATACATAAAACTTCAGTTGTTTTGATAAAGCTGACCGTTAATGTTAATAATGTTATTGCTAAGAGAGTTTACTGTACAGTTTAGGTGTTTGTTCATTATATTCAAATACACTTTTTGGAATCTGTTGTCCTTCACCAATTTAATAGAGTCATAGATAAGTTAAACTGACTTTTTTATTAGATGTTTTGTGTGTATAGCCATTTTAAAGAGCTTGTAAGTACTAATTTAATGAGGTAAAATAAGTCAAACAATGATAAATGCTCACAAAATTTTTGATTGATTCATGGATAACTCTTTACTTTTTGTTGTTGTTTCAAATGGGATAAATAGGAACCAATGGCAATCATTCTAAGTTTTATTACATTTGCTTTATATATATATATATGTGTTTTCTCAAAGTTCTCAAATAACGTTTTTTATTACACTTTTGAAAGTTTGTTTTATGAGTATTTTCTTTTATATTATTTTATTTTGATGTATACTTGTTATGTAGCAAGGGTAAAATACCCCATTTTAACTGGTTTTGTCTATAAAATATCAATATGGCATATCATAAAAATATGAAACTTAAACCTAAAGTGTTATACTAATGACGAACCGTGGGATGTTTAATAATGTTAATGAAAACCATTGCTTCTTAGTGTTAGCTTGCTTTAGTCAACATTAATAATAACATTAGCAATGAATGACATTACATGCATTCATAAGAATGATCCTCAGACATAGCTTTTTTCTTTGGGTTCGTGAAAATTAATTTTCTTACCGAACAAAACATTTGTTAAGATTACATACATGATTTCATGTTTGATTGAAATTAAACCATTGTCCTGCTTTTAGTTTTAGCAGCAAATTCAGCTTTTTATTACGATATTAGTATGATTCTTCTGGATATTTAACTTTCCCGCTGATTATCGTTGCCTTATTTTAGATTTAAATGTATAGCTTACTTGTCATTCAACATTACTAGTTTGATTTTATATTTCTTGTATAATATCATTGTTGTTTATTAAAAGGCTTATGAGTTAAATAAAACTCAGTGTAGTACTGAATCTCAGTACAGTATGTTTGAACTCCTGTGACTTATTGGATATTTACATTAAATTCTATAAGCAAGAAATTTATCACAAAATTGTGTTATTAATTGTATCAGAAATCTGAGAGAATGCAATATAAATGTATAATAAAAAGTTGAACTGTATGTCCAAAAGTTGTGTTTCGTGATGCATAATTAAAATATTAACTCTTACTACATCCACCACAATTACTCTGCACAATTATAAATGAAACTGAGTGTTTTGTAAAAATCATGCATTTTTTTCATAATTTCTTTAATGCACAATAAAATGATTGACAAATTTAAACAGCTTTAATCTCAATGAAATCCATTAGTGAAAGAATTTACCAACTAAACAATCAGTGAAACACTGAAAGAACAAGTCAAGACTAAACACTGTTATATCACTTGAGAGAAAGTCCAAAGTTACCACTAATTATGTTAAATAGTACGTGGCGCTAGAACAGAATTGTCTTCTTAAGTTCATTTAAATATTTTACTTTCCAGGAAAATTTTAGTGGATCTGGTACAGGGACTTATCCAAGTGTAAAAACAGTAAGACGGCCATTTTAACTTAGAATGTGGTTTTCACCAATGAAGATGAATGTCATGAAAAATAGAGGTTTTTAAAATAACCCTGTTTTATTATAAATGACACTTCTTGGAAACAAAAATTGGAAATACCTTTTATATATATATTGAAAAAAATACACTTGTGATTAATGACCGTTTTACTTATAAGGTTGGATGAAATGCCCCTCCCTCAAGATGGGAACCAAATAGTCCCAATAAAACTCAAAGAACTGCAACTTAAGATAAATGCATTTAGCTATTGCACTTAAACTATCTAAACCACTATTTAAATACTCCCAGTAGAGGTCCAGGGGGCTCTGCGCTGTTTGCAAGTTTCGCATTATCTAGGACTATGACAGGAAAGAACGTGAATACTAGCGTGGGGAAGTGACGAATATTGCGACTGAAGCCTATGACGAAAGAAAAAAACATTTTTGTAGGGTAAGACAGCTTTGCAGGGGAGAGGAGACGTCGTACTCCAAGCCATTTATAAAACATTATTATTAATAGTAAAGTTAAGCTGTGTTTATCTTATGGCATATTTGGCTGTCTGTAATTGAAATCATCAAAGTTAAGGTTCTTTAAATATTTAATTTGTAACCATAAAACATACTAAGTGCTTACCTTATATCAAAGTTGTGCTTTGAATATTCGTGTTCACAGCCTGTCGCCATTGTGTTTATGCACAGGGCCACGTGTACAATGTTGTATATACTAGCGTATAGCCCGTCAATAATGACGGGGCAAGTACTACCTCCCCAACCCCATAGTATACCTCACATTTTATAGCTAACTGAAATAAATTTTGTGAAATCAAGCTTGACCAAGAAAGAGGCAGAAAAGTGCAGTCGAGCCTGTCAAACGTCCGTAAATTCCTTTGTGAGCCAATCAAAATTAAGATCATTCATGAAATGAA